TAGCTAATGACGTCAAGGGGTCTCACTAGACAGATTGATCTTTTTGTTTGTCCTTGAAACTCAAGTGTCAATTCTCACGTATAGTGGTATGAGATATGAGAATATATGAAAGTCTACACACACACACACACACACACACACACACACACATACATATATACAGTAGATATAGAAATATGTACATAGGGTGTGTCTGTGTGTGTGTGTGTGTTTTTGTGTGTGTGTAGACTTTCATATATTCTCATATCTCATACCACTATACGTGAGAATTGACACTTGAGTTTCAAGGACAAACAAAAAGATCAATCTGTCTAGTGAGACCCCTTGACGTCATTAGCTATTGAAGATTTCACACAAGACTGCACCTACAATGTAGAACAGCCTGGACTTCCTTGTATGTACCTCTCATTATCACCCTATTGACAGTAGTTACGGAAATTGTGCTACGAAAGCAGACCAGGAAATATTAGGCGAAGCAACTGATACAAAACACTTCCCTTTCAAGAAGAAATAGCAGATGGCCCATTAAATATACAACCAAACCCATGCGCATGTTGTATGATAACAAGAATAATATTGATGCAAGCTTGGGGTTGTATTAAAAGGTGGCCTGTTGAGTCTTAGCTGGGACTGTTTCATTGCACACAAAAAAACATTTGATCACTTCTGGATTTTTATGAAAGAATTTCAACGTGGAAAATAATAACACCAATGCTGAGGAGAACCAGAAAGAAAAGCATCACACAAAACAACCTGATAATGTCTGGGTATTCTCTGTAAATCTTCTCTTCTCTGGGGCAGCATTACACAGTCTTTTTCTGTATCAAATGTATGCCTGCTCTTTGAGTGAAGTGCCAATAGAAATGAAATGAAATATACACACTCCAGGTTTAACCTACCTTTTTTCCCTTTCTAGATGCCACTTGGGCAAATTAATCATCTTTTGGTGCCAAGAGACCATAACTTATTTTGACCCTTGCCTAATATGCATTGCATTCTCTCCTTCCCCAAAAGGAATTTATCATCCCAATGTTAGGTATAAAATGCCAAGTTACCTCCTTTTCTAAGAAATATAGCTAATCGACTTAGCTTTATATTCAAAGCAATCTTTCTAAAGAATTCCTACAAACCATATATATATCATAGCACTGGGGAAAATTAAAAAGCAGAAAATAAATTTTAAAAATTAAAATTAAAAAAAGTTAGCATCGGTGTTTTGAATTTCCATTTGTGTTCAAAGCAAAGACAAACTTTACAAAGGTAACTTAACTATTAATATTTTATGTACATGGGAAACCTGGATGCAAGCTGATCATAAAAATTGCTTGTTAACATGGTATTTATAATTTAATTTTTTTTATTCACAGAAATAGAAACAAGACTACAGGTAGTCCTTTACATACAACAGTTCATTTAGTGACTGTTCAAAGTTATATTACTGAAAAAAGTGACTTATCATCATTTTTCATACTTATGGCCATTGCAGCATCTCCATGGTTATGTGATCAAAATTTAGACACTTCACCATTGACTCATATTTATGACCGTTGCAGTGTCCAGTGGTCATGCGATCACCTTTTGCGACCTTCTGACAAGCAGTCAATAGGGAAACCAGATTCACTTAACAACCATGTTACTAACTTACAAACTGCACTGATTCACTTAACAACTGTGGGAAGAAGTCATAAAATGGGTCAAAATTCACTTAGCAAATGTTTCACTTAGCAACAGAAATTTTGGGCTCAATTGTGGTTGTAAGTTGAGGACTATCTGTATTTTCATGTAGATTCTAACATGATAGACTCCATAATATCTACTAATACCATAACAAAGTAACAATTTGTAACAATGAGCTGCAAGGGCACAGTGGTTAGAGTGCAGTACTGCAGGCTACTTCTGCTGTCTGCCAACTGCCTGCAGTTTGGCAGTTCAATTCTCACCTGCTCAAGGTTGACTCAGCCTTCCATGGTCGGTAAAATGAGGCTCCAGATGATCGGGGGCAATATGCTGACTCTGTAAACCGCTTAGGGGACCGTAAAGGCTTCTGAAGCAGTATGTAAGTCTAAGTGCTATTGCTATTTCTTAGCAGCATCCCACAAATATTACATACAAAATTATACGTCAGGTTTATTTAACCTACACTATGTTAGCTGAGGATCACTGGAAATTCTATCTGACAGGATCGGTGCACATAGCTGCATAACATATTCAAAAATTCTCAGGCTTTTTCTCCCCTTATCTTCCTTTAGCTTCTTTGTGGTGCCTCAGAGGTATTTGGGAAATTACATCAGGTCACGGACAAATGAGTCTGGCTGAAGTAAAGGAAGCAAATTTCCCTCTTGTCTAAGGGTTGCTTTTCATATGTGATATGATTATTTTTTTTAACTCACCACCAAATAGGCTAGAAAGGATGGAATTCTTAAGCTGTTCGAAGAAGTTATGAATGTTGTAATTTTGTACAATTAATATTAGCAGATTGCCTTTGAATTTAAAAGGCAGTTTACTTCACTGCTATGCCCAAGAGCTGGTAGCCTGTTGTTCTTGCCATTAATCACAATGGACTGAACATGAAGGCGTGCTACAGATAAGGGATATAGCCCAATATTATGAATTTCATTTTTGACATTTTGGGTTCATGCTCCACCATCTCTATTTTTCTCAGCCACTGTGAAAGGGTTAGCATATTCCCATTTGAATTTCTCATTATTTTTCAGACCAGCGTACAACTCAATTGTCTGCTGAAGACTACAATGACTGACTCAATTCTTATGGCTTGTCTTCAGTGTATATACATGATGGAACATCCATCTTTCTCCAAAGTTACGAGTGTGGGGTTAAGTAGGGCAGCTGGTCTCCATTAAAATACATGGGATCTCTAGTTTCACTCAAAAAAAGGAATCCCCTTATTAAAAAAAGTGTTATTGTGATTTTCTCTGGTCGACACTATACATTATAAGGTTAAGTCAAAGTGAATTAAAATTCCTTATTCTTGTCTGCAAAATTTACATCTGTTACTATTTTTATATTTTTCATCACACACACACATACACTCAAGGTGATAAATATACACAATTATTCATGTCTATTTTCCCTACAAGAACCATCTTGTAAAGTAGGTTGGACTGAGTGTGTGACTGGTCAAAAGTTCCCAACTCACTTTGATATCTAGAACTCTCTCTCATAGGCCAGCACCATCATCATATATCTAACTGGCTCTTTGTTACATGTTATGTATAGTATACATTGTGTACTATATGAAATTCATATTAACCTTCCTCCAATACTGCCATTTCCATACCAGTGGTAGTGGCAGAGAGTAGCTACTGCAGGTTATTGCATGGCACTAGAAGACTGTGACAAATCAGAATTATAGTTGAATTAGAATTTATTTCATGTAACAAAAATAATGCACAAGCAGAATAGCTGTCACATAGATCCGAATATTGTTTATTAGTTACAAAACTCTCCAGTTTTAGATGTTACTATAACTAAGCTTCATCTTGGTACAACTTTTTGAATTATTTTTTAACTTTGTAAGACAAACAAACCAAAGCAATCCAATTATGCTCTGTAAAAAATATTCTTAACTAATTTTATCATTAATATGGAAAAAGGAGCACCTTTTTCATACTTCGATGAAGATTTGTTCATTTTTAACTGAAATTTACCACCTCAATAGCTACTAAGATATAAAATTATGTTGCATTTTGTCACCACCTACAGCGCTTTAAAAATGCAGAGCTGCGGATGCTAAACAGTCTTCAGGGAGTTTGTTTTTCCAAACCATTTGCTACGTTGCCTCCATTTTAAAAGGATTCTCATATAGGTTTCAATTTGCTTGGAATTCTTTACCCAATGCTTTCTTCAAAGAGAAACAAATTATTCACAGTCTCCTTGTAGCAAAATAGACACATGGAGCTATGCCTGGAGTTTCAAACTTGGGAAGCTTTTGCTCAGGTTGTCTGCAAGAGTCTGATCTGCTCCATGCAGCACTTCAAGAAAACTTTCCACCTGGAAAAAAAGAGAAGTATATTTTGTCATATACTGTATAGCAAGTTGAATAAAGTAAAACATGGAGATTGCTAAGCAGGAGGAACTTATTCTGACAAGCACCTTGATCAGGATGTAGATAATTTCCAAACTAGTTTATGGGACATCAAATAATAATTTCTACAGAGTTACATACACAAATGCCTTCAAAGCTTTCTAGGTTTTGAACTTCCCAAATATCAGTCAATATCACTTCGGTGACAGTGGAAAAACTTCCTTTGTAATCTATTCACTGATGCTCTTTTACATGTATTAAAGGTAATGGAGAAATCATTGTGCAAAGGTTTCTTGGGTTAGAAAACAAACCAAACAAATACGGTTATAATATAGGTAGTCTTTGTCTTTCAACCACAATTGAGCCCCAAATATCGGTTGCTAAGTGAGACAGTTTAGACCTTTCCTGCCACAGTTGTTAAGGCAATCACTGCAATTGTTAAATTAGTAACATGGTTATTAAGTGAATCTGACTTCCACATTGATTTTGCTTATCAGAAATTAAATATGAGCCAGATGCCAAGTGTCCAAATTTTTGATTCCACGACTGTGGAGATAGATATCCTTGCCTCTGGTTCAGGAGCTCAAAACCATAGGACTCCCTCCTGTTTTTCCCTCACTGCAACAACCCTGTGAGGTAATTTGATTAGAGAGGACTACAACAGCCCCAAATCACTTGGTGAGCTCCCTTGGCTGAGGGTGGATTCAAATCTGGGTTTTCCCAGTGGCAGCCCAATACCTTAAAAAATTTATGGCATAGGTTATATAACTTGAAGCTGGGAGGGGAAGGAAGAAAGGAAAGAGAAGAGATGCATATTTTTATTCTACCAATAAAATTTTACCAGCCATGTTTTTTAATATAAATCTCTTTAAAATTTTTAGATGGAGTCACATATATCAGAGATATTTATCCTTGACAATAGCTCAAACATAGCTTTTGCTTATTTCAGAAGTCATACATACCGAAGATGAATACAATGGAAGGAGATTTTGAAATGCGGAGGAGCATTTCTGTTCATTTATATGACCTTGCTTGAGCCCCTCCAATATGTTTTCCTAAAAATACCAGCAAAGAGTTAGATGCTGTTTGAATAAAGCATTTGTAATAAAGCTTATTAAGGATGGTAACTCAACTGTGAAAGACAAACATAAACAGTGTGTTCCAATAACAAATGTGAGTCATGGCAACCCAGTGATCAAAGAAATTTTTTTAATATTAATAACAATTCTGCATATGAAGAATGCTAAATGTTAAATATTGAACACTGGAGTATTTAATATTCTACTGTGTTTCATGTGCATAAATCAATCTCTGAATCAGTGTGGCTGTAGAAAAGATGTTAAAAATGTAATACTCCATAATTGCTAGAAGGGTTCTGTAGGGTAGTTTTATACAACATCTGAAAAATAAGCACTTAAAACAAAAGGATAGATATATATTCTATCTCAATCAAACTAAAACAATTTATTTCATTAAAAAATACTCATCCCACAGAGGATTGACATTCTCTGTCTACAGTAATTATTTTCTAGTGAGATTCTTGCATAAATTATAAAATGCAAGCCAGCCAGTTTTCCATCATTTTTAACATGCTGAGAATGTTCTATGCTTCTTACGTGTATATGCTCATACACATAAAAAAATAAGTTCCATTCCTTTCCATTCTAGAAGACAATTTTATAATTCGTAAGACAACAAATGCTTCAAAAAATTTTCAGAACTTCAAAAGATGTGACAGTGCAAGTACAGCACCAATATAGACACCCAGTTTTTTAAAGCATCTGTACAGCCCTTGGGGGACAAAGCTGCTTTAATAAATAGCACATATTTTTATATTTTATAGCAGGTTTATAGCTAGAAAGTGGGAAACTGGTCTCTCTCTCTCTCTGTCTCTCATTGTAGTGGGGAACAGGAGGAGGAAGATTTGTTGGATATGTTTATTGCCTTGATTTATTTGTAACAATAATAAAGGCAGGATATAAATAAATAAAATGTTAAAGGTACAACTCCTTTAATGCATACATGGATACTTGTTACTACACTACCATAGTGAATAAAACCTGGGTTTAAACCATTCCTTAACTTTCAAGTTTATATGATTATTATTTTTTACCTCTGATAATTCCTGGAGCATATTGGAGAGTAATTCACAACAGATGTCCTTCAAGATTTTTAAATGGAAATCGTCATCAACTACTTCCAATTTCTCACACTCTTCTGTCTGGGATTTCTTTGAGCTGTCTACAGATCTCTTCTCACATTCATCCATGTTTTGTAACACTCTAATCATGCTGTCAATCAGAGCCAGATCTGAAATGCAAAAAAAATAAAATAAAATTATGAATGAAAGTATGTTGGGAAAAAGCGGAATTCCTAGTAGCAAAGTAAGTTTTAAAATAGATAGACTTTGCAGTCATTGACATTATCAGATGAGTATAATCTAAAAAAAGTCAGAACAGACAAAAGATAAACAAAGAGAAGCTGCTCTTTCTTCACAAATTAACCTAATATATATTATATTTCATTATATTTTCAAATGAAAATATTTCTCATAAATATTTACAGACAAAACAGTCTGTAATGCACACATCTTATATTCTATATTAAAAAGGACAATGTCAATTTGTTAGAATGTTATCATTTCAGTCAAAAATCTACAGCCTCAGACAAATTGGACAATATTTATCATAAATATTTATTAAAATCGAATGTAGGAAAATTAACAACAGCTTCAATTTATGTCCAAATGACAATAAATAAAATATTATGAACTATTTTTCTTTTAGTTCTTGGAATTGCAGAGAGAAATTTTAGATATTGGGAGATAAAAATAGGACCCTTTTGTGTCACTCTTTCCTCTTTTAGATGTATTGAAAAATAAATGTCTTTAGAGAGATTTATTTCACCAAACTTACTCAAGTACACAGTGGGCTATATCTTTAGCTCACTAATCAATTTTATAGATGTTGAAGTTGCTAGCTTCATTAATGCAGATCACAATCCAATAACTGTAAGACTGCCTAGAGGAATTTCCAGACCAATGAGAGTGGAGGCTGAATGTCCTATTATTATTGCAATTCAAGTAAACTGAAATGCCAATGTGAATTAGAGATTCTGACAAATCAGTTTACTTCTTGAAATTTCATAATCGACAGTATAGGATTGCAGTAAAGCATTCATGAGAGAACTGTTTATTTCTTTGGAATGAAAGAAAAAGAAAACCATTAAAGAACAAAAGAGCATATTGATAAATGAACTGAAGCAATTATGCTCAAGATATAAACAGAATCCAGTCTTAGATTTAGAATAAACTGATTCAAAATCAAATGGGCATAAAGGAAACGAATTATACTTACAAGATGATGATTTTGCTAAGCAGAAATATTAGGAAATTAATACCATTGAAAAAGGAAGAACGCAAGCTATGGCAAATTTACCACTTATGAATATTTGGTATTTGGTATTTATTGGGATTTATAGGCCGCCCTTTTCCCTGAGGGGACTCAAGGCGGCTTACATTCGTTTCCTTTATGCCCATTTGATTTTGAATCAGTTTATTCTAAATCTAAGACTGGATTCTGTTTATATCTTGAGCATAATTGCTTCAGTTCATTTATCAAGATGCTCTTTTGTTCTTTAATGGTTTTCTTTTTCTTTCATTCCAAAGAAATAAACAGTTCTCTCATGAAT